TCGTCAGTGAACAACGGCTCTGTGTAGTTAATGCTGCTCAATGTGAAAGCACGCACGTGATGGAGATTTACCGCTGATTACAGAACCGGCTTTACTGATAAGATGCGCGTTAAATATCGCATGCAATTTATCGTGCAGCCCTAGCATATATCGATTGTGTTATAACAGAGCTTTGTGAGATCGCGATGAACTGACATGTCAGCTTTTTAGTGATTATAAAGGGAGCGCTCTTTGCTTGCATTCTGCCATGCCAAACCATGCACACAGCAGCCTATGCTTGCACTTCTGTTCAAAATAACAGTGGTTTGTGAATATTGATGCTTTAATAAATATTTTATCGGAAGCGTTTATGCTATTGTGGCTAGGCGACACGGAACTTGCTATTTTGATGGATGTACTGAAAAAAATCGATATAGGCTACTTTTATGCTGGCTGAGAGGGACAAAACATGAATGTTGCGGGCGGGACGAGATAACATATTTCTGTAGGAGCGGGACAGAAAAATCCATCCAACGCAGGTCTCTAACCTAGTGTGTTAAAATCTGTTCAGACTTTAAAAGTTGTGTAGTGTATTCTAGCCTTAAGATGAAGTGAAGGTCGGAAATGAGGCTGTCAGTTTTCAGACTGTACTTATTGCTTCCTCATACGATGAGGTGGTGACCTCCGAGGGACCTTCAGCTCTGCAGCAAAGATGCCAGCTCTCAAGAAGAGTAAGTGGAGAAGACGTTAACCAGAGCAGGGGCCGGACCGAGAGATCAATAAGATGTAAATGGGGAGAGAAATGTTTAGTCGCAATTGAAACGCCAGTAAGTAGACTAAAGCTAAGGTGGAGCAGATGTGACTGTCTGTTTCTTCAGCTTGTTGATGAGCATTTAAACTCAAGGGCTGCACAAAAGTCAAGGGTGGTAAACAGGTCAACTTCGACCCATAAGGAGCTAGGTGATAAGAACAGGGGACCACAAACCGCCACTCATATCTCTCTCATAAACATCAGTGGTTTAGAGGGGTGAACACATTCCTTTAAAGAGATAGTTCACCCAAAGATGAACATTCAGTCATTATTTACTCATGTCTCACAAGATTTTATCCATACTATGGAAGTCAGTGGGATCCACTGTTGTTTTCGACCCTTTTTGACTTTACTGTATGGCCAAAACAGTTCATTCAAAATATCTTTTTGGGTGAACTACTCGTTTAAAGGGGTCATATGATGCGATTTCAAGTTTTCCTTTCTCTTTGGAGTGTTACAAGCTCTTGGTGCATAAAGAAGATCTGTAAAGTTGCAAAGACTAAAGTCTCAAATCCAAAGAGATATTCTTTATAAAAGTTAAGAGTCAGCCACGCCTACCTAAAACGGCTCGTTCTAACACGCCCCCACATGTCTACGTCACTATCTGGGAAGATTTGCATAAAGCCGCCCAAATGTTCACACAAAGAAAGAAGGCGTAATGCCTCGTTTATAATGGGTTTTCATGTTTTTTTAATCATCGCTCTGGCTGGACAGGGCATCCTCACAATATGGTAAGGGACGTAACATTTCCGTCACACGCTTGAGGTATTCAGCCAATCACAACACATTGGATAGCTGGCCAATCACAGCACACCTCGCTTTTCAGAACGATGAGCTTTGTAAAAATCGACGCGTTTCAGAAAGGCGGGGCATAGAGGAGAAACAATAATGTACAGTATGTGGAAAATAATGTGTTTTTTAACCTTAAACCGCATAAACACATTTCATTACACCAAATACACAAAATAATGTTCTTTTTAGCAGCATCATATGACCCCTTTAACACATCACACCAGTGTTGTCATTATTTGAAATAAAGCTGATATAAAATGTTAAATTAGAAATGTTGTCTTGGCAACTAACTAAAATAAAATAAGTTATTATAAGTACTATAAATAAGTACTAAAATTACTGAAATTAAATAAATGAAATCTAGATAGAAAAAAAATTAAATTGACAAAAGCACAACATTACTAAAACTGAAATGATAGAAATAACAGATAATTCAAAATATTGATAAATACTATAATATTATATAAATACAGAGGTGTAGTTTTATAATGGCTTTTTACTCAAGTATAAATATTTTTGTTGACATTTACTTCAATAAATTTTAAAGAGAAAATTGATACTTTCTCAATACATTTCTCCAGGCCCTTTCATTACATTTGCAACTACAAAGCACAAAAAAGTAATAACAGCAAGAAAATCTTTGTGGATCGGTCATTATGATATCCAGTTCACAAATTAATATTTTAATCAAATTCAGTTCCTTTGAATCTCTACTTTTTTGTGAAGGGTATTAAACAAACTCTCCCTTCATCATATACAGTAGTTGCAGCCTATATTTATATTTGTATACATTTATTTGTTTTAGTGTTTAAGCGACGCTAAAGATTAATTGATCAATTCATTTCACAAAAAGGTCTGAATGATCCCAATCACAAATCTGAATCTAAATCTCGAAAAGCACAACATTTTTGTGTTAAAGGATGTAGTAGTAATGATATTGTATTTTTACTTTCTTACATATTGTATATTGTATCATGTAAAGTATATGCACTTTTATAACTGTGTTTTTTGTGTTTCTGTTAAAACACAGTAGTATGAAATTTCATTTCAACATCATTTATATCATTTATTGCTGAATTTGGAGTTTATGGCAGTATGAACACATACACAGTATGAATCACTGTCAGATATTAATTAATTAAATGGCATTGTAATTTAAAATTTTCTTTCAGATATAAAAATGAACAATTCAGTAATAAAAAGTGATGTAGCATCATTAAGAACAAACATGATCTACGAATGTAATGACACAAGGATTTTTCCTTTTTGGGTGAGCAATCTCTCTAATGTTTGTTAATATTGATATTTACACATCCTAACACAGACTTCAGCAACCAAGCACTCAGCTAGTCTGCCAAACATACAATCAGTTGTAGTTTTCATTTCAGTTAATACTTTTAATGAAGTATTTTTCTAATGAGCTACTTATCTTCACTTAAGTCAATATCCATAAATGTGTCTTTACATTTACTTAACATGACAGTATGATATTTGAAACAACACTATATAAATAACACGAAAATAACACTGCACCAAACCATGAGTAAAGTGAAGGACTTTGTGAGACTTGGGTTGGCTTTTCTGAATCAAATTTGTTCTTATACACAAACAATGCCCATGTGTTAATATTCGGAACACTGCTTTTCAGTTTTCACTGCCAGATTTTTGCCCATTTACACAGATGTTTGAATGAGCTCAGAAGGAAAAATCTTTATTTTATTACATCCAAGGGGCATCTGAAATGTTCTCAGCATAGCTTTGAAACATGTTTTGAGTCTTAAGACTACTGTCCCTGGAGAAGGTGAAAAGGCAAGAGTTTACTGAAACCTCAAATAAACACACACACACACACACACACAGAGTTCATGCACAGCTGCTGCAATAAAAATACACACACAAACATAGAGTTCATGCACAGTTGCTGCAATAAAAATACACTGTTATAACTAATAAGAAGAGCCTTGTGTCAAAGGGACAAACCAAACACTTTGTCAAGAAACATCTCATAAAAGTGTGGATAAGTGCGTGTCTGGGGCCCTGCACGTACATGTGTGCAAATGTTCCTAGTTTAGCCTGTTCTCATTCTCTTCCCAGCCGCTCTTTTGAGACTTCAGCTTCAAGTTTCTAAGAATGCTTTGCTTATTTGTTTACTGATGACCGGGAACATCAAACAGACATGTTTCTCTTTTCTACAGCTGAGGAGAGCCAGTCATAAGGGACAACTGTGGTTGGTTTAAAGGTCTCCCTGGTGACTGGAGGGGGGTAGGACGCATAGTTCTTGAGGAGGCTGGAGGGACAGCTGGATGAATGAATGACTGACACGCCATCCTACCCATCATCAATGGTTTTCCAAATAAACAGGCCATTACTTTAAATATTTGAACCAGCTTTGAAATGGACAAAAGTAATTCCATCTGTGGAAATGGTATTCGATTAAGTGTAACTAACATTCAGGGCCGGTGTGTTTGGTGAGTTTCTGGTAGAGATGCACCGATCGATCGGCCAGGAATCGGAATCAACCGATTTTCCTCATGATCGGCCCAGATCGGTGATCGATCCGTTTTGTTACCAGCAGCACAGGCAATAACATCAGCCGCGCATTCTCGCTCTCTTCTCTCCGACAACCCCTTCTCTCACACACACGTCTAATTCGCTCCGGTTAAATAGTGCTTGTATTGCGCATTATTCTAGTCATTCCCGCAGGTTTCGCGCTTATACCAAACGCGCGCGCACCACCACTGATCTATATTAATGGAGCGCACAATCACGCTCAGTCTCAAACAGCTTGTGAGCCACAAATACCAAACTGAGTGGCTAACTGCGCTAAAACAGTCAAATACATACAAAATTATGTCAAAATGCCCGTCTCGGCGAGTATCCAGTTAAACACAGTCAGTTTTGGAACGTTAAATAGTTGAGAAAGAGAACGCATGTTGAGTAACAGTACATTGGGTCTGTGGAAAAACTCTTAAAGGGACCGCAGTCCAATATTCCTGCTGCTGTCTGGCATGTTAATCAAAGACCAAAAGACAAAGAAAATCATTTTCTGCTCTTGACTGAATACGTTTTATAACTTTAATGGTAAGCATTAATCTGTATTTAATTTTTACAATGAAGACTACAGAAATTAAAGTAATCAAATGTAAAATAACACTGGATGTGTTATTTTACATTTGATTACTTTAATTTCTGTAGTATTTCTTACCTGAATAAAAACTTACTTAACCTGAAAAACTTAGTTTCATAGCTCTCTTTATTCTATTGCATTTATTTGTGCTGTTGTTTGCCATTTTTTTTATTTGTTCTTATTTTATTACTGACTTTTTACTTGTGTTTTTTTATGAAAATAAAACTTTGCGTTGAAGAAAAGTAGATTTTTGTTTGTATATGCTGTCAGTTATAGTTCTTAGAAAGAAAATCGGAATCGACAAAAATCGGTATCGGCAGATCACACTAACAAAAAATCGGAAATCGGAATCGGCCAAGAAAATTGCAATCGGTGCACCTCTAGTTTATGGTTGTTGTCATGGTGATTACCTTTGATGGTGCTGATGACCCGCTCCAGATGCTGGCTCTCATTGCGGTCGGGCCGGCAGCTCGGGCTGATCTCCAGGGAATAATCCGGGCCGTATTCAGTGAAGTACTGGATTAGAAATAAGCAAAGCAAAACACAAAACGTACTTTAAGTCACCATTAGTTAAAGTGACAATTCTTTACTGCAGGATTTATTATACATTTTTTACTTGTGCACCTTTTTGTAATTCATGTGTTTTAAAAGACTTCAAAAGAGATCATGAGGATGAAGATATTTCACTCAAAACTGAAAATTCTCATGTCGTCCCAAAATTTTTTGAAAAATTTTGAAAAATGTTTTTTGTCCATTCAATCAAATCATAGGGGTCCCAAGTTATTTTCGACCACGCTGTCTTTCTTTCTTATAAACAAACTGTATGTTCCACAGAAGAAAGAAAGTCATAAGGGTTTGGAACAACGTAAGGGCAAGTGTATGATGACAGACTGTTCGTTTTTGGGCAAACTGTCCATTTAATTAAATTGCTATAAGTCAAAATTTGGAATTATGTGTATGCTATTCACACTTCCTATGACTATTTTCCAGCTAGGACAGAGTCGCTGCTAATCGCAGCTTCACTAATGACCTTTTAATGTGATCTAGGTTTCTTTCAATAAAACAAGTCCTGTTTTTTGTGAGATTTTTCTCAGCTAGGAAGCAGCATATACGTAAGTAAATATGGGAAGGTTTAGTCATCCTTCCACTTTCTTCCAAACACATACATACAAATATACATCAACTTGTTGGATAGCTGTGCTCAGTCTATCACAGTGTTCTGACCCTTGGATTGAGAAGGCAAGCCTAAAAAGCAGTTAAAGTTTCCCCTATCATGAAATGCATCTGAAATACAATTAGCGATGCATTATGATTTTGAAATGGAAACTACAGTGACTGGACAAAAAGACAGCCATCTATGTTGCCTTACTCATTCGAAAAAACACTGTCTGCATTGCGTTGGTAGGGTAACGGGTGTTTAAATTGGACAGAGATCAGATTTGGTTGTATGTGTGTTACACGCATTAGCTCAACTCTGCTTTCAATTACTTGTCTTTTGTTTATCCGGCTTACCTCCGGTCCCAATGCGCTCCAACATGTTAGGGTTTACATAACATATGAGTCTGTGAATGTGTGCAGTCAGGTTAGGTTAGTTAGTTCACCCAAAAATAAAAATTCTGTCGTCAATTACTCATGTTGTTCCAAACCCATAGGACTCTCGTTTATCTTCGAAACAAAATGAAGATCTTTTTAAATCAACCCTGCGAGATTTCTGTCTCCCCATTTAAAAGACCATTCCACCTTAAAACTGATGCATCAAAAAGTGCATTAAAACATAGTGAACATAATCCATTTGAATAGATGCCATATTTGACGACAAACAAAGTTGATTAAGTCAGATAAAATTAGACAATCAGTCAATCAGAGTCAAAATATGGCCCAACACTTCATTGTCTCCAAGTGTCTCATTATAAAGGTGAGTTTAGGTTTCATCTCGACCTTTTCAACTTTGACCCCTTAACTATCAACACCACCCAACATCCATTATGGATTTCCCCAAAGCTCATTTCCAGCATTTATTCCACTCCAGAATTCTGGGAGCCAACTACTTCCCAGACGCAATGGCACAAAAAGTCCCACCCACAGAAGAAGATACAGAGGCCACACTAATTTGTTACTGTTGTGGCGTCACAAGTTTTGTTCAAGATGCATGAGATTGGAGAGGTTAAGGAACACCTGAAGGCCTGTTGTCTCCTCTGCTGAAAATTTGTAGTTGACAAAAGACAGTAAGCTTTATGAAATCATAAGCTGTCAAAACATTCACTAAATCACTGAACACAGGGTGTATTTTATTATTATCTTTAGTCAATAGCATGGGCGGACAAACAGCATCTACACTGTCTGAAACGCTTCCCTTCTAGATCAGTCAGTACGTGCGGGCGGTAATGAGCCAAACCCGTGCTGACAGTCTGTCTGTCTCACACTTTACAGTGAAGTACCAGACCTGGTTCAAAGGGCAAAACTACAGACAATGCAAACATAACACAACTGGCACTCACAACATCCTGTTGAACTTGCTGTGAAAAAGTTGTCAGCCAGTGAGAACTTGTGTACGTGCATCAAAAAAGATTTCTAAAGGAACATTTCACAAACGTAGTTATATCACAAATTGAGATACAAGAAAAACCAGCTGAACTCTGATGGTGAACTACCCTGCTGTGCATAATGGTTTCACACAAATCAATTTGCAAGGCAACTTGCCCATCTAAAACAGTTCCACATTCGCACAACTTTACTCTTCTCAATCCACACACAGGTCCTCTATAAGGGGTCTTTGCTGTCTGTCACTGTTCTGCCCAATGGGGTCTTCACCCCCTCCTCAAGTAATGCAGAGAAGACAGAAGACCTTCCCACGTAAAGCTTAACCACAGCTGTCATCTTGAGATTGTGTTCATGTTAGCTGGCTGAACTCATTAATGAACAATACACCTGTGTAGGAACCTGTAAATTCTGTGGCCAAGTGTTTGAGATCATGGGTGGAGTACTTCAGTTGATCACTGGTATGTTGACGTTTGTCTTTAAGAGACACTGTTTGTACAATTGGGGGAAGTGATGCAGATTGTCCATTCCTTGTAACCCCCTCTGAATTCTCATGTGAAATGGAGTTAAATAAAAGAAGAACCAGAGAGACAGGATCAGACGTCTATGTGGCTGACTAACTGCAGGGGGGAAACAGAGCTCTGGGTGTTTGTTATTTCACTAGGCTGTGCTGAAAATAACTTGGCAGAAACAAGTGAAAAGGAGTTTTTTTTTAAAAAAGGAGAGGATGTACAGATGTTGACTGGCCACAGAGCAGTGAGCGCTGTTTCCACCCGTGGGCTGGGCTGAGCTGAGACCCTGACAGCACTCAAACAAAAACATAGCAAATTCCCTACCACTGGCTGATAAGATTTTGACCAGAACAAAGCCACACGTTCCCTGCCTAGCCAAACTGGCCATCAACAGGAACTTTTTGTAGATTTAACACTTTCCTGTCCTCTTAACCACTACAGACAACATTAAATGTACTGTATAGTTCACCCAAAACTACAATTATGTTATCATTTACTCATGTCATTCCATAATTGTATGACAAGATATTTTGAAGAATGTTGGTAACTTAACTGTTTTGGTGACATTACTTAAAAGAATATATTTTGAGAAATGTCTTTTTTATGTTTCACTGAAGAAAGAAAGGCATACAGGATTGGAACAACATGAATTTTAACTTTTAACCCTTTGACTTCTTCTGTAACACGGCTATTTAGTTTTTTGTCAGTAATCAACAATGCCAAATTGTCAACTGTACAATCTTCATTTAGAATTTCACCTCTCTTAAACAAGAATGTAAAAATGAATAATAAAAGCTTTATTCACACTGCAACACTGGTTCACCTATTAAAGGGGTCATATGATGCGATTTCAATTTTTCCTTTCTTTTTGAAGAGTTACAAGCTCTTGGTGCATAAAGAAGATCTGTAAAGTTGCAAAGACTAAAGTCTCAAATCCAAAGAGATATTCTTTATAAAAGTTAAGAGTCAACCACGCCTACCTAAAACGGCTCGTTCTAACACGCCCCCACATGTCTACGTCACGATGTGGGAAGATTTGCATAACACCGCCCAAATGTTCACCACAAAATAATGTTCTTTTTAGCAACATCATATGATCCCTTTAAGGTAAAATCCACTCTCTTTCAGTAGGTGTTTCTTATAGAAAAGCAGAAATATCGCAGCAACCTCAGTAAACACAGTGTTTCTACGCAACTTAGTAGTTTGAAAAAACAATATTTACAGTTTTTCAATATACATATTTCAAATATCCATCCATTCAAAAGACAACTGGTTGAAAGGGTTCAGATTCTTCATCATTGTTCTTTATAGTTGTGTTCTTTCACAATTTTACCGGTTTTAAAAATTTGTTTACTTTGAAAATTTTTATTGTGTACTGTTTTTTTGTTTTTAAATGTTCAAGGTTCTTTTTGTTATTTGAAAAAAAGGTGCCTAAACCTTTAATAAGCACAACATTTAAGTCTGCTTACCTTACCTGTATTTGTAAAGTAATTCAGTACTGTAATAATAAACTGTGAAAAAGCTTCAGCAGTTATTGTGATATGAAAAAAATTATACCATCACATGCATAGTTCTAGCTCAATCAATACTGTGAGTTTAAGACAGAAGTGGTTTATTGAATAATTACAGTCGGGCACAACAGATGACGTGTCTGGGAAACCTCTCTGGAATTCCATTTGGTGTTATTAGTGGCACAAAAATTACACACTTCAACTTTACACAACAACAGTGTCTCATGATGTTATTCACCCTAAAGTGTGAATAATTAATTACTTCTGTGGCTAACTTTTTATTCTATTAAAATCACAACATCTCAATCAGCTAAATCTTGCCTAGGTTTGTGCTCTGATTTCATCAAATCTGCTGAGAGATCGAAGAGAGATGTTTTGTTGGTGTAAAAGTAACTGGATTGACACGACGTTGCCATTAAAAGGAGTCAACAATGGCATTTATTTAGACCAATATCAGGGCTGTCTTGGCTCAAGCACAGCACAAGCTTTTCCAATTCATCAGTTTCTTATAGAGAAACAATTCAGGTCCAAATAAAAGGCTCTGAATTTTTTCAGGGACTCTCCCTTGTAAGGGAGGACTGTTTATATTAGCTTCACTTTTTCATCTCTCTGTGTCTGTGACAGGGCCTGAATGAGCTCGTTGTATGCCTCCACTCCAGTCTGTCTTCATTGTTTGCAGTCCTGGCAGGGCAGAACCCAGACTGAGCCGCCTCAGAGTCTCAGCAGCTGGATCAGCTCGAGGGGAGAGAGAGAGAGCGAGATTGCACAGGTACAAAGTGCTTCTTGTTCCACCTCTCTTTTCCCAGCTTCTTCTATGCTGCAATACTCTTCTATCTTTTTTGTATACCCCCATTGGTGGATGCCTCTCTGTCTTTTAACAGCCTTATCACTCTCTCTGCCTTTCTCTCTCCCATCTTTGTCTTTATGGACTCACACTACAGTTAAATAGTTTTTTTGTTTGGCTGGGATGGACACACAATAACAGTGCTGGTAAGCAGATGGGGGTTCCTCTCTCTAAGAGGGGAGGAGAGAATGTTTCATGCTTTGAAAAGCCGATGGAAGGAACAATAAAGCAAAATAAACTATAGAGAGAAAGAAGAGGAATGAGAAGGAAATGAGGAGAAGGAGTGGTGGTCCTAAAACTCGAAATATGTTGTGGACCGGCAGACTTCGGCAGAGTTCTTAGGGAGGGCTGGTTCATATGGCCGTCATATGGAGAACATAATATAACAAATAAATAATAATAGAACAAATAAATGCATTCACCATTATAGAGAATAGAATAGAATAGAATAGAATAATTATCGGGGGGAAATCATAAGCCCATCACACCACCGTTGTGATGAACTATGAATACCAAAAGTTATAAGGTTTAAATTATAAAGGTTCTAAATTACAAAATGTTTTACAAAACAGTTTTGGTAAAAAATATTGAAATCATTGCCAAGATACAGCATTACTGCCCATTTGTCAATGATTTTAAGGTACTTTTTGGAAGGTACTGACTGAAGAATATCTGACCTGAACTGGGTAAAGTCTGGACAAACACTCTTGGAAGGAATAGTGAACACTTTTCAATAAAAGTCACAATGTACAATAAGCGGTATGGCCAACACTGACAAACAGACCTGAATGAACTCTTCATCACCCAAAGAAGATGAAGAGAGCAGAACCAGAAATTTATAACAAGGATTTCCAAAGTTACAAAGCACATTATAAAACAATCATATTATTACCACTAGATAAATACTGTATATTTTCCCACTTATTTCACAGCAATCAATCAATCAATCAATAAATAAATAAGGTAATATACACTGTTTAAAAGTTTGGGGTCAGTAAGATTTTTTTTAAAAGAAACTAATACTTTTATTCAGTTGATCAAAAGTGAGAGTAAAGACTTTCATAATCTTAAAAAATATCCTATTTTAAATACATGCTGTTCTTTTAAACTTTCTATGACAGTTTCCACAAAAATATTAAGTTGCACAACCATTTTCAACTTTGATAATAATAAGAAATGTTTCGGCACCAAATTATCATATTACATGATTTCTGAAGGATCATGTGACACTTCAGACTGAAGTAATGACGCTGAAAATTCAGCTTTGCATCACAGGAATTAATTACATAACATAATTAAAGAATAAAATTGAAAACAGTTATTTTACATTTTGATAATATTTCACAATATCGCTTTTTAAACTTATTTTCAAGATTAAATAAACGCAGCCTTGGTGAACATATGTGACTTCTTTCAAAAACATTTTGAATGGTAGTGTATAAGTGAAGTCCATTTCACACATTTAAGAGCACTCCAAAAAAAACTGGCCCTAGTAAAACATCCAATATAATAAATTGTAAAAAGTAACAAATATATGTTGCAAAAAGTTTAGAATACATATACAATTTTGAATGGCTCTCAATGGAGAAGGATGCTTTATATAAATAGAAGGTGAAATTACTCCCAGCAGGGGCTATTGACTTCTAGGGCCAATTACAGTTTAGCGTCATTACATAATAATATTGTAGTTTGTATTTTTTTTTTTTTTTTTTTTAACAAGACAATATAATATTTTGTACAATACAATATTATAAGTTGTCCCAAAAAAAAAAGAAAATTCCTGATTAACCTATCTTGAAGTATTCCAGAGAGCTCAATCTCTTCAGCAGCATTAATCATCATCACGACCATCACTGTCGTTAACGAACACCCTGACAGTTATCTACACTGTTTTATTTTGGTTGCTTGCCCTGTGGAAAGGTCAAAGGTCAACATGACGCAGGAGGTCATGACAGCTGAAACAATGGCATCTTTTATTGCGGTGACCATGAAAGCGCTCTCTATAAACATTAAAAGACCTTCTTTGTGAGTTGGAAGAAAAGAGAGATATCAAACTCTCCCAGACCAACCAGAAGGCCTTTCCAGCCCTTCATCTCTCCTCAGAAGCTTCTCAAAAAAGCATGAAAAAGGCTCACTCAGAATTGGGTACACACATTCTCTTTCTCTAAAGAATGAGAAAGAGGAGAGAGGGGGCATAAACAGTTGAGGAAAGAAAAGCACAAGTCCCTCTCAGTCAACCGGTAGGGACAGAGTAGTATTGTTAAAGGGGTCATATGATGCGATTTCAAGTTTTCCTTTCTCTTTGGAGTGTTACAAGCTGTTCGTGAATAG